GAACCCACCACCTTAGGTGTATGTGGCTGGCACCCTAGCCACCGGAGCCACAGGCGCCAAGCCATCTGCCTTATGTTTTAAGTGACCACTTGGTCTATTGTATGAAGAGCAACAAACCCAGAGGTGGCGGGTTCAAACCCAGCCCCGGCCAAAAACTGAAAAAAAAAAAAAACCAAAAAAACAAAAAAACAGAGAACTCATTTATACTACTCCAAAAATCTAGAGAAGGAGCCAGTACATGAACAAAGGAGGCAAACCTGGGGTGGAAGTGGTAAGAGCCAGGGAGATTCTGCAAGTATTTGGAACGTCAAATGACAAGTTGTATAAGAGAAAGAAAAGAGTCAAGTTTTTTGACCTGCTCATCTCTCAGAATGGAGCTGCCATTCACCAAGACATAAAAGACTGCGGGAGCAGTGGGCGTCAGGTAGTTCCATTTTTCCATGTGAAGTATGAGATACCTGTCAGACACTCTAATGAGATATCAATAGACGGCTGTATATATACACTAAAAATTCATGGACACATGTGCTTAAAGATATAAATAAAAGCCCAAACTACTGTTACTGGCAGCCTCCAGGACGGTCCCCAGTGACCTGCCTCTTAGGATCCACACCCTTATAAAATCCTCTTCACTCAAGAGCACATTGGATTTACAGACTCACTTGTAGCAAACAGAGTACAGCAAAGATAACGGCATACAAGACTGGTTACAAGAAGACGGTGGGTGCCATCTTGGCGTTACGGACCCTGGGGGAAGCCGATTATCAGGCTGTGAGGCAGTGCTGTGCAGGGGCCCGTGTGACATTTAATTGAGGCCAGCTAGCATCTGTGTGAGTGAGGGTGAAAGTAGATCTCCAATGCCCTTCACCCCACTCTTCAGATGAGAGTGAGCCCAGGCTAATAGCTTGACAACGACCTCATAAAGTCGTGGAACCAGAGACACCCAAGTATGCTATGCACTGATTCTCACTCGCAGAAACTAAGACATGATAAACTTTTGTTGTTTCAAGCCACTGAATTCTGGGGTAATTTGTTACACATTTAAAATGTACGAAACACTTCTATACATTAGTGAACTTTACATGTCCTTTTATACTTAGAGAAACTGAGTCACAAAGATGTTCAATCACTTGTCCAAAACTACACATATGTTGTAGAGGTGAGAATGAAATTCAAGCCATCTGACCCCAGAGCCGAGGCTCTTAATCTCTGCATGACATTACCCCTCTTGGATAGTTTCTTCTCCTTTTCTGGATGTATATAACTGAAATGCGACTTTCCACTACAGAAAGTGTTAAAATCACATGACTTGCAC